AACTGTGCCACTAAGAGTTTTAAAATTGAAGTCTGCCCTGACGACGTATTCAAGTGAAGGCGTGTGCATAAAAACTGCACAGACGCTGAAAAGAAAAAAGGTCAGCAGGAACACTAACTTTTTCAATCCCTGTAATGGTAGAGAGTGGAGACATGCTTCTTTTTTCATCTCTTTTAAATTGCCCGGTCTTTTTCTTTTTTGTAATAACTTGATTGCATTCATGTCTTTATTCACTTTATTCATTCAGTCCTGGCCAATCCTGCTGCATAGCCATGGCAGGCCAGCCTCCCCAATGGGGGACTGGGATAGATTTTCCTCCTTTCCTCCCTTTCTCCTTCCCTTCTTCCTTCCCTCCCTCCCTTTCCTCAGCAGTCTACTGGGACCAGCAGACAGCTACTGCTCATTTCATCAAAAAGCCTTTCTGTTCATGTTGGGTTGATGCTCTGTGAGGATACTGGACATACAGATCCCCTTCTGTCTCTTAACACACTCATAAACAAGGTAGGAAAAAAAAAAGGGTAGATAAATGTGATTTAATCTAAGGAAGGTATGGCAAAACTCCCTTTCTGCCCTCCCAGCTAGGTACTGAGACCCAAACCTTTTGTGCTGGGAGGAGTTTCACACAATCGCTGTTTTGGATTGGCCAGTGTGGCAGTTTGAAAGATTGCTCCTTCCAGTTCCACAAGCTAGGCATTGTTTCCTATTCGCATTTTTTCCTCTGCTTATAGAGTCTCATCTTTTCACACTTACATTAAATAGTGCAAAAACTTTTTGAGGGGAACAATGCCAGGGCCATTCCAAAACAAAATGCAAGACTCAGGGCTGAGGGGGGACGGGGGCAGGGGGAGGGGACGGGGAGGGGGGCAGCCAGTCCCAGGGCCTTGATAGACTGAGGCGGCAAGGTCTGAGCTGGAGCTAGTTCTGCCTCGGCTAGCTGTCAGGCCTGGAGTGCAGGAATAGAGGCTTTGGGGTCTTGGTCTTCTACTCTTGAGAAGTGAGACTTTATCTTCCAAGAGAATGGACTCTGCTCCCAACTTTTGAAAGTCAGTTACGGATGTGACACACATATCATTTTTAAAAAAGTGTCTCAAAAAATAAGCAGGAAAGCTGGGGTCCTTTCAATGTAAGTGTAAGGAGTGTTTAAGGTTTTGAATGAGTGCTTCCTAAGTTTCAGTACCAGAAAATGTTATAGGAAAGTGTTCAAGGTTAGAGCAAACAATAAGTCAGAGGAGCAAATGACAATAGGCAGGATTTATCAGAGAAAACCTGGGAGCGTCTCTCCATGTCCCAGCTGTGGTCCCAAGAGACAGCTTCTCACACAAACCACAAGGTTTTAAGGGGATGGACAGAGGGAGGGCTGAGGCTGTTGGAAAAAGCTGGGGGAGGAGTGTGGGGGCTGTTGCTGATCAGTACATCTGGGAGTTGTCTGTCACCAGAGACCGAAACTTAAGGTCAGGCTGTGATGATGAAATCCCCTAGGGGCCTAGGGCGGTGAGGCCTGACAGCAAAAGTTGTTTCCTTGTTCCCATCAATAAGACTCAAAATAGAAGTCTTTCTCTTTTGCACTTTGGTTGAGTTCTTAGGGAGGTGAACTGGCTGGTATGAAGGGGGAAAATGAAAGTGCATAGGAGACAAGTATCATTCATACAGCAAGCAGGTTTTTAAAACGAAAGTTGATATAGATTATCCCTCGTAGCTCAGGTACAACTCTGCCACATGTAGAGAAGGAGAACTAGTATTTATTACATTGTTCTAGGTAAGGAAGGACTTAATAGAGTATATTTTACAGAACTATTGGTGAGATGGCTCTCAACATTTCTTGAGTAGTGATACTAGCACTCCTATATAAAGCAAAGTTTAACAAAGTAATTTTGTAATAATCCTTTGGTTCTGCACCATATAGTCTTCCTATCTAAAGCACATCGATGACAATGATGATGATGACAAAGGCAGTGGTGAAGACAACTTGACAATGATTTGTTTAAGATGAGACAGAAGCAAGTGTACTTCTGCTTTAGAGATTTAGCAAGATAATGGTTTGAGCCCAATAGTTCAAAGACAATCTGGGAAAAACAGTCTTAAAAGATATTCTGAGACGGAAGGAAGGAAGGAAGGAAGGAAGGAAGGAAGGATAGAAGGAAGGAAGGAAAGAAGGAAGGAAGGAAGGAGGGAGGGAGGGAGGGAGGGAGGGGGGAGGAAGGGAGATAGGGAGGGAGGGAAGAGGAAGGAAGGAAGGAAGGAAGGAAGGAAGGAAGGAAGGAAGGAAGGAAGGAAGGAAGGAAGGAAGGAAGACAAAATGATAGCACCCATGGCACTAATGCCAGCTACAAACTCATCACGTGGTTCTTTCATCACTGAAGTTGAGATCCTCATGACAGTACCAAGAATAATAGTGCCACCTAGTGACAGTTTTAGCTATTATCTCTAAAATGACATGACAAGTTGTGTATTTGTGCCAGTCCTCCAGCTTGAATTTTGAACCTGAGCTTCTTTTGTTCAAGGCTAGTGTTCTATCACTCGAGCTACAGCTCCACTTCCAACTCTTCTGGTAATTAATTGGAGGTGAGCCTCACAGACCTTCAGACCCGGGCTGGCTTCAAAACGCCATCCTCAGATCTCAGCCTCCTGAGTAGCTAAGATTACATGTGTGAGCTACAGGCACTTGTCCAACAATGTGTGTTTTAGAAGATTCACTTGAGACTAAGTATAAGATGAGAACTGTAGATTGAATAGTAATCTATCCTAGCATAGTAGAGGAGGGAAACTTTGGTGTCATAATTTCTCTCATCATTAGTTTTGGACTTTAATCAGTTGAAATGTATTTCTGCACCACAATGTAAACTTCAATAAAAGTCTGCTCAATTAAGAGACTAAGTGCAGTGTGTGATATGTACAAGATGTGAACTCCATAATTTTTTAATCCAATGAATCTTTCCTCAAAATTCTAGTGTATGACCAACATTTATATCTTTATTTAGACTTCCAGATGATGTTTAAATGGGGACTTTTCACACACGATATTCAGCAATTTATGTTTGTATTTCAAAGACTGTGCTTTTTTTTTGCCAGTCATGGGGCCTGAACTCTGGGTCTGGGCGCTGTCCCTCAGCTCTTCAGCTCAAGGCTAGCTCTCTACCACTGGAGCCACAGTGCCACTTCCGGCTTTTTCTGTTTATGTGGTGCTGAGGAATCGAACCCAGGGCCTCATGCTTGCAAGGCATGCACTCTACCGCTGAGCTACCTTCCCAGCCCAAAGACTGTGCTTCTTATATTTAAAGATATACCATTTTGAGGTGGACTATTTATAATTACTTCTCAGGGTAGACTGTATCAAATATACACATTGGAACATATACATTAAGCTGCAGCTCAGAAATAACACCCCAAGGTGTGGCACTTAGGAATGCAGATTGGGGTGTCACAAGGGCAGCAGAGGCAAACAGACTTCTTTGCCTGAGATCTTGGTCTGTTAAGAGAACTCTAGTTAAGGCCACTGTGCAGGGTCTGCAAGCTGCCTGGACCCCTGGCCTCAGGCTCACTGGGAGCAGAAAGTCGAAAGCTTTGTATAACAAGACTGTCTTTGTTCATCTTGAAATTCTTCCTTTGAAAACTTGTCACCATTGTTCCCCAGAAGCCCCAGCTCATTTTCATACAGTATCAATGTCCATCATCTGAAGCTTGAGTTGCCTCTGTCTCACACACACACACACACTCGTAAGAAGTTTGTCCTTTCTCCTATTGACCTTTGACTTGTTTTCATTTTAGTGACTCCAAGTTTTGAGCATTTAGAGGAAAATTTTAATTCCCTTGTAATTGTGAGTTATTTTGATAAGGCCACATGTACTAATTGTTTAGGAACTCACAAGCTTAATGAGGAGGACCATTCTGATTAGAACCCTTAAGAGCTAGATAGACTCGTTAGGTAAAGATGAAGTCATCTTGCAGTATTTTTATGTACAGGATTGATATTCTTTTGTGTAACATGGCATAGCAGTGACTACCTTAACCACTTCCTAGAGTTCTGAGAATGCAAGGCAGTAACCAAGGGCTTTAAAGGTACTGTACAAACTAGTGGTATTCCCCGTCATTTTTCTGGGACAAATCCTAGTTAGTTTGCCTGGGCTCAGATTATAGCCTCAGCTGGGTGACCTCTATGCTGCAGAAGATATAATAAAACAGCTTGCTCAATCAAAGGCAGCATGTGTACTTAGGACATAGTAAATGCTGTGTGTCTTTTACACACACACACACACACACACACACACACACACACACACAAAGTTCTGGATCCCATTAATACTCTTGGAATACAAATGAAACAGAATGTCAAATAAGTAGAAAGCACTCAAGAAACTCAAGTTTTCTTTTTCTTTTTTCTTTAATATGCCAGTGCTGGGGCTTGAACTCAGCTCCTGGGTGCTGTATCTTAGGTTTTTCACTCAGTGCTGGGCTGGTGGTCTACCACGTAAACCACAGCTCCACTTCTGGCTTTTTGCTGGTTAATTGGAGATAAGTCTCACAAACTTTTCTGCCTGGGTTGGCTTTGAACTGAGATAGATAGATCCGAGCTCCTGAGTAGCAAGTATTATAGTCATGAGCCACTGGTACCAAGGCAGAGTTGGTGGGAGAAAGTAGGTAGGCCAAGGAGGGCATTTTGAAGCTTTGTCCTCCATTATCCAGATTAGTGTGCACACATCTCTTGCCTGGATACCAATAGCCCTCAAATAGTCTTCTACTTTTGCCCTCTGCACACAAGTGACAGAGTATTTAAACATAATTCATGTGTCTTCCCTATCTGTGTCAAGCCCTTTAATTATGGAGAGTTCAAGGACCAACTGGGGTAGAAAAAACAGTTCTAAAGAATACTGTCCCATATATGTGAAAAATCAATTCTGCAACATAATCTCCATTATACGGTGAAAACCTGACAGGAAAGGACCACCCACAACTGCCACTTATTTTTCAACTTGCCATTATATTCCATTTGAGTCAGCATAATCTTTATTTCAAAATAGTATTTTTATTATATAAAAATGTAAAAATCCAGCAAAACCAGAAATACGGATATATTTTCCTGGGCTTTCACATTTGTTGATTTTTATTCGCAACCTGTTTTTCAATACAATTTACAACCTTGTCCCCATTTCCAGTCTGATTATACAAGTGCTAAGTGGCAGAAAGTTCTGGAATAAATACATCAAAGAAGGAAAACAAAGCAAAGCTGTGAGACTAAGTTGCATGCAGCAGGTCCTATGAGGGCAGGAGAGGTGTCTGAGAAGTAGAGCAAGATACAGTAACTGTGAAGTGCAGGCTGAAGTTTTCAGTCATCTTTGTCTTTCGCTCCATGTTTGAGGATGCGTGTGAACTCAATGTAATTGAAATTGCCCTTTTTGTCAATAGGGGCTTCTCGGTACAGCTCATCCACCTCCTCATCTGTGAAGCGATCGCCCATGGTTGTCAGCAGCTCCCGCAGGTAATCCTCCTGGATGGTACCTGCATGGCAAAGAAAGGAGTCCTGACTTCTTCATAGCCCCTCAATGGCTTACTTCTAAATCAAGCCCATCTTACAAAATATGTCAGAATATCCATCAACTACATGAAAAGCAGTTAGCAACCTAAAGCCACTATATGTGTAACTTTGTCACTGAATTCTAATTGCTTTGAGAATTCTTTATTAAGTTAAGAGGATTTGCTTACACAATTAAGCATGCATTTTCTAGAAGTTAAAAATCCAAACCTGCTCTTTCAAAGATATAAAGTCAAATAAAAATACAATGGTGGCTGGCCGGAACATAAGGCAGCACTGCAAAAGGCAGGAAGGAAAGCTGATGGCTGGGAGAGGGAATCTGAGAAGGACTTGTGTGTGCAAAGACTAATGATGAAGAAAGGAGAAATAGGCTGAAGGAAAAAGAAAAGTGAGGGGAAGAAGCAAAGTGAATAGCTACGCTTTACACATTTAACCTTCCCCTAGAGGTGTGCTAAAATGAAGACAAGAACAACATAAAAAACCCTCAAAGGTGAGGGATCTAGACTTAAAATGCTCATGCTAGTTGATTACACATTTCAGAGAGATTGTATCTTTAAGAGTAGTTTTTCATTGTCTAAGAAAGACCATTTGAGGGCCATAATTCTCCTTTTGTTTTTCAGGAAGCTCAAAGTCAAAATCCAAGGCAAGTAATAATAGAAACTGTAGCTTTACGATGTAAATATGTTATCCTGGCCTTTTTTGAGTGTATTGCCTTATTGGTTGCAAATTATAGTTTATATTTACTCTTTTAAATAAACTTTTATTTCACTAATTCAGTTCATTTCCTAAAGGAGGTTGGGCATAAAGAAAGACACAACGTTTACCTGTTGCTTCCTCATCAAAGCAAGCGAAGGCATTTCTGATGACATCCTCAGGGTCTGTGCCATTTAACTTCTCGCCAAACATGGTGAGGAACATGGTGAAGTTGATGGGACCTGGAGCCTCATTCATCATGGCATCCAGGTATGCATCAGTAGGATTCTTCCCTGGAACAATTCACATTTTTACTTTTAAAGACAAAAAACTCATTTCACTATGGAATTATTTCTTTATGTGATCAAATATATTTCAAGGTTATATCAGCTGGGCACCAGTAATCAGTCCTGTAACTCTAGCTACTTGGGAGGAGGCTGAGATTGGGAAGTTTGAGGTTGGAGGCCAACCTGGCGCAAAAGTTTGTGACATTTCCTTCTCAAACTGTCTCAAACATGATAGTGCATACCTGTGATCCCAGGCTACACAGGAAACTGAGGCTGGGTGGACTGTGGTGTCAGTTCAAACTGGGCAGTAAAGTCTGCAAGACTCCATCTCCACAAAAGGGAAGCCAGGCATGATGGCACATACCTGCTGATCTCAGTAATGACAAGAAACTTACAAGTAGTATACTGTAATTCAAGAGTTGCAACTCTGGGGAAGTAAAACTAAAAAATAGCTAGGTGAGCTGGGGCTGGTCATTCATGCCTGTAATCACAGCTACTCAGGAGAGGATCTGAGGATCATGGTTCAAAGCTAGCCTAGTAAGAAAGTCTGTGAGCTGCTTATCTTCCACTATAAAAACAAACAAACAAACAAAACAAAAAACCAGTGCACTAGCCTTGAGGGGAGGAAAAAAAGAGGCATCCAGGCCCAGAATTCAAGTTCCAGGACAGGCAAGAAAATGTCCCCCCCGCCCCCCCCCCCCCCCCCCCCCAGGTAGAAATGTGGCTCAGCAAGCAGTATCACACCAGCCTATCAATCATAAACCCCTAAGTTGAAACCCTTAGTACTGAGGGGAAAAAAGGTTGAAAGTAGTCTTTTAAATAGCTTTCATTAAGAATATTTTAAGGTAGGTCAGTGGTAACAGCACTTGCTTGACACACAGAAGGCCCTAGGTTCTATAACCAGTACCACCAAGAAAACAACAAAAACAACTTTTTGGCAACTTAAAAAAATCTTTGCTACTTCATTATAAAAATAAATTCTGGGGACTAGGAGTATAGTTCAGTGGTAGAAATTTGTCTAACATACTCACAAACCTGAGTTCAATCCCAGAATCTCTCTCTCTCTCTCTCTCACACACACACACACACAAATTGAACTCTGGATCAATTTTCTCTTCACTATTTTTTCAGTGAAAACCAAATAAACATTAAGAAACATCACACTGTTATATTTTGACTGTTGATTACATATTACAGGTTCATTAGGGAGTCATTTTAACACCAATAATTTTTTTAAAGTAGTCATATTTCTAATCATGATACACCTGCCCATGAGTTGGTATGCTCTAAAATTTTTATTTACAAATTGGCTATTTAAATTAGAACTGTTAGGTTGGTTTGGGATTGATAGCCTTAGTTAATGACATTAAAAAATACTATTAGGTTGTCACATAGTTGCAGTGTTTACACATTTGCAAACTGTAGTCTTGACTATATTGTCTGTAAAGAGAAATCTTAGTCTCAGTTCTGACAGAGAATACAGTACAGTGATGGGAGAAATCTCCTGGAATAGCCAGTCAAGGTGAGTTTCTGGAGGGTCCCAGGATGTGGGAAAGCAACACTGAACACAGGGTCTGGAAGATTTGGCCTGAATCCTAGTTCTACTGCTAGCAGTGAGGCCTGGGGAGAGATGGTAGAAGGCGGATCCAAACTCCGGGTTCTGAAGATCCTGCACTCAATACCTGCTAAAAGGGACTGGTTGGAGGAATTATCTGAAAGGTCCCTTTCAACATTATTTGTGTAATTCTACAAGAGCATGTTACTCAGATGTTCCTATCGAAACAATCATCTCAAAACCTCACCCAACCAAGTATAATGTAATGACAATCAATTCCAGAATTACAGTTCATATGCAAATTTTAATCTTGGGGCTTTAGATAAAATTTAAACACTTATGGTGACATCTATTTCACTGCATTAAAGTCTACCTCATTACACCTACTCAATCTACTTGTATAAGAAGATTCACTGAATGAGTGAAAGTAGCTTTTAAAAATCTGCTTTTCTATTTATAGGTTAAACTAACATTTTGGGGGGATGTAAGGGAGCTGTAATCTAGATGTTTTAAGAGAACTGTGCTGTTAAAAAAAAGACAATCCTTTAAAACGCATTGGTTTAAGCTAAGGATCTAATGTAATAGCCTGATTTGAAAGGTAAACATAGGTCTATTTAAAGGCTTTTTCCAATTGGAAGGCCCCAAATGAGCCTCCAGTTCCACCATCACTGCTCATCCAAGAAATATTTCTTGACCATGTACTATGAGCAGGGAATAGACCTGAGTGTTCAATGTTTGAAACAGAGATCTATTCCCCCACTTGCTTCAGAGGCTTTCTTCAGTTATGGTTAGCCTCAACAAATACACTTACAAGTATTTTTTTTTTTTTGTCGGTCATGGGCTTGAACTCTGGGCCTGCACACTGTCCCTCAGCTCTTCAGCTCAAGGCTAGTGTTCTACCACTTCAGCCACAGCACCACTTCCAGTTTTCTGAGTGGTTTACTGGAAATAAGAGTCTCACAGCCTTTCCTGAACCTGATCCTTAGATCTCAGCCTCCTGAGTAGCTAGGATTAAAGGTGTGAGTTACCGGCACCTGGCTACCAAGTACTTTTAAAACAGTTTTGCTGAAAAGTACTAACTCCTTACATAGATCCACAGATTAGCATCCCTGCCTCCATTCTGTATCTATGGTTTTTTTCTTTTCTTTTTTTTAGGGTGTAGGGTACTGGTATTTAGGCTTGAACTCAAGAGTCTGGGTACTGTCCCTTAGCTTTTTTTGCTCAATGCTGATATTCTATCACTTAGGCTATCGCTCTACTTCTGGCTTTTTGCTGTTTAATTAGAAGAATCTTATGAATTTTCCTACTTGGGCTGGCTTCAAACTGCAATCCTTATATCTTATTTTTGAGTAGTTAGGATTATAGACAAGAGCCACTAGTACCAGCTTTGTATCTGTATCTTTTGGCTCTGAGCCATTCCTCCAGAAGTTACCTGGGAATCTAGAAAGGACTGATTGATAACATCTTTTTAGGTAAGATGGAAAAAATGGCCTCCAAGGAGAGGAACAACGGATCTTTTTCTGGACAGCAATAACAATGTCTCTAGAAACCCTTTCAAAACAAGCACTGAGGTAATGATCCACTTGTGATCTAACTCATAACCAGGACTATTTAGTAATTATGCAGACCTCTTTTCCCACCTGTCCCCAATTCTTTGTCTGTTTAAATCTAAAGTCTATTCTACACCCCAAAGATAGCTAATGATGGGCTGCAGTGCTTCCTTTACCTGTGCCCAGACTGTTTTACTCTTTGTCTGCCTTTCACCATTACAAGTTTCCTTATTTGATGTAAGTTTCACATTCAGCTATTTAGAATGGGAAAAACACTGGAAATGTTGTAAAATTTTAAGAACTGAATACAGGTAAAAGATGTATGGGTATTCACTCTACTCAGGGCCCATTTGCTGCTGCTTTTTCTTTTATTCCCTACTGTAAAATGATGGCTAAAATTCCTTCTTCCTTCTTTTAAAGATCAAAACAAACAGCCACAAAATTCTATAAAGAATAAGTTCATATTTGTATGTCCAAAATAACAAATGGCAATTTATGGCTTTTTAAAAACAAAAACTTCACTCTTTTCTTAATGAAACAAAGTATACATAATATTAAAGTCTGATCCCTTGTGTCCCATTTTGGGTAATACACTAAAGGGATTATTGCCACTCTTTTGTTGACAACCTGTCCTCAACCTTTATTAGCTGTACAATATTACTACCTATAGCTGTTATTTGAACTTCTGATATTTTGCTACCTACTCATTCTTGGCTTTCAACCTAACAGTCCTAAAGTATTTAGCTAACAAGAACTGAGCCAACCTAGCTACACTGCCTGGACATTATTCCTGAAGGCGACCCTTCATGTTTGCAGCAGTCCTAATATGGCATCACCATACTCTGGTATCTCTCCAGAGGCCTTTTGAGACAAGGTAGTATATGTAATTAAAATTTTACAAAATGATTCATAAAGACATGAATTATTTTGGGGAAAAAGCATATAAAATACGTAAAAGTCTACCTAGAGAAGCAAGCATATCATGCAAATCTTCCTTGTCGATGAAACCATCTCTGTTCTGATCAATCATGTTGAAGGCTTCTTTGAACTCCTGGATCTGGGACTGGTCAAACATAGCAAACACATTGGACGTTGCACGCTGTGGGCGCTTCTTAGTAGTCTTGGTCTTGGCCTTTTTGCTCGACATGGTGACTGTTTAATTCTGTAGTAAAAAAGGGCCATAAAACAGAATAAATGCCTAAAGAGAGTAAGCAAAAGTATCTTAACATAGAACTATTATGTTAATTAGACAGAAATAAGTACATATCTAAACTTTATTTTTATTAATTAATTAATTTATTTATTTATTTTGTCAGTCGTGGGGCCTGAACTCTGGACCTGGGTGCTATCCCTCAGCTCTTCAGCTCAAGGCTAGCACTCTACTGCTTGAGCCACAGTGCCACTTCTGGCTTCTTCTGCTTATGTGGTGCTGAGGAATCAAACCCAGGAACTCATGCATTCAAGGCAAGCACTTTCCACTGAGCCACCTTCCCAGCCCTCAACTTTATTTTCAAAAAATGTGTAAAGAGGCTAAAAAGGGAACATAGTTTCCAAGGAATTAGAAAATAGAACTTCCATTGTGGAACATGCCTATAATCCCAGCACTTGGGAGTTTGAGGAAGGAAGACTACAAATAGGCATAAGGCCAGCCTGAACTGGGTCTAACAAAAGGGCAGTGGGGAGAGCTATCACTCTTACATGTATTAAAGAATCTAAGGCAGTTCACCAAATTGAACAGAACTCTTAAAAGATGTACAAACGGGGCTGGGAAGGTGGCTCAGTGGTAGAGTGCTTGCCTTGCATGCCTGAAGCCCTGGGTTCGATTCCTCAGCACCACATAAGCAAAAAGAAAAAATCCGGAAGTGGCGCTGTGGCTCAAGTGGTAGAGTGCTAGCCTTGAGCTGAAGAGCTGAGGAACAGCACCCAGGCCCAGAGTTCAGGCCCACGACCGGACCAAAAAAAAAAAAAGATGTACAAATGGCCAACAGATACAGGAATAAATGTTTAAAACCCTTAGCCATAAAGGTAATGCAAATCAAAACAACCCTGAAAGCCTGGCACTGGTGGTTCATACTTGCCACTCAGGAGGCTGAGATGATCTCAGTTTGAATCCAGCCCTGGCAGAACAGTCTTTGAAACTCTATTTCCAAATTATCAAGCAAAAAGCAGGGCTAGAGGCGAGGCTCAAGTGGTAGAGAGCAGTCAACCAAGCAAGCTGAGCAAGCAACAGGCCCTGAGTTCAAATACCAGTACAAACTAAAAAATAAACCACAATACTGAGATTCCATCTCATCAAAATTAGAATTCATTGAAGAAATCATGAAGAAAATAAACAACAAATGCAGACAAGGACTGGGGGTATGGGAGAGGGAAAGAAAATACTTTTACCCTAATATGGTGGGAAATGTAAATTCGTTCAGCCAGTATGGAAATCAGCATGGAGGTTCCTCAGAAAGCTAAAAATGGACTATGTGATCTTACTTTACTACTTTAGGGTATATCTCCAAAGAAATGGAAATAAGCAGAAGAGATACTTGTACATCCATGTTTATAGAAGCACTATTAATAATAGCCAAGAGGGAATCAGCTTAGATGATCAACAATGAATCAATGGAGAAAGAAAATGTGGTTACATATATGCAATGGTATATCTACTTTATTCAGCTACGAGGAAGAAAATTATATGGTTTACAAGAAAAGTGGATAGAACTGAAAAGGTAAGCTGAGTTAAGAAAGGCAAATAGTTAGCCGGTCGCCGGTGGCTCAAGCCTGTAATCCTAGCTACTCAGGAGGCTGAGATCTGAGGATCGAGGTTCAAAGCTAGCCCAGGCAGGAAAGCCCGTGAAACTCTTATCTCCAATAAACCACCAGAAAACCGGAAGTGGCGCTGTAGCTCAAGTGGTAGAGTGCTCGCCTTGAGCTGAAGAGCCAAGGCACAGTGTCCAAGCCCAGAGTTCAAGCCCCATGACCGACCCACCCCCCAAAAAAGGCAAATTGTTTTCACTCATATAAATTTAGACTTAAAAAATATAATACAACCTGACTATATAAAAGAGGACCTGTTTAAGGGGTCCAGCAGAAGGGGAGGAAGAATGTAATAGGCTGAATATTATAGAAGAATATTATATATATAATATACATATAATATATAGTACATTATATGTTATATACATATAAATAAATAAAAATAGCAGATGAAACCCACTGAAAACTGCTACATAGGAGTGTGGAGGATAGAAAGGAGTGATAATAGGTTGGGTGAGTCTGATCAAAGAACATTTTATGCATGTCATAAATATTACAGTGAAAATCTTTTGTATGATTAATTTATGCTAATAAAAGTGAAAAAATAAAAACTAAGGTTGCTTAAAGAGAGCATTGGCCTTTGCCATTGGCTTGTGGGAGGTTCTATCTCTAGGTTCATGCAATGAACCTGCCTGACTATCTGCAGTCTTGTGTCATACCACATAGTGAAACAATGAAGAGATTTGGACCACTGTGCTGAAGACTGAGGTCAGTCACATAGGCAGTTGGCTGTATCTGTATGATGGAGCTCCAATAAAACCAGTCTCCCACTGGCAACCTTCTGCATATTTTCACACGTTGGTGGGCGGAGCTATCACTGTCCATGACTTCTCTGGGGACAACTGAAGCTCTGCCTCTGGCACCCTCCTGGACTCTGCCCCACAGGGATCTTCGCTTAGTCTGTACCTTTTCACTGAAATTACTTGTGAACATACAACAGTCAGTGAGTTCTGAGTCCTGGCAGATTACTGAACCTGCAAATAGTCCTGGGGACACTCAAACTTGCCACTGGTGTCAGAGTGAGAACAGTCTTGAGGATGGCTCTCAATTCTCTGCAGGCCAAGTCAGCAGCAAAAGTCAGAGCAAAGGGATTTTGGAGATGAGTTTTTAGACCCACTTTCTATACAGTTTGCTTCTTTTACTTCAATCTTTTAAAATATACTCTGTGCAGGGGTGTGCAATGCTTTTCCTGGCACATGACTGGATAGACACATATGTTTCTCATACTGCTTCTTGTTGGCTGCCTGAAGCCATCTGCCTGTATTGAGAATTTTGTATGGCTCACAAATGATCTAATGAATATACAATTGTCTCTTGGCAGAAAGAGTTCCCCAGGCCTGCTACAGGGTGCTTTGAAGCTAGGCTTTGTGGTGTAGTTGTGAAGTACATAGGCCTTTTAAAATCTTTCGACATTCCAACTCTTTGCCCTCTCCACATACTTGTCCTCAAAATTTTCCTTCTTCCAGTAACTTAGCTAATTTGACTTTATACTGAAAGTTAAATCAGAGAGGAAATATCGACTGTTTTTTATTTTCTTCTTTTTTAATACTGACATTGAACCCAATGCCTCACACATGCTAAGAGGATACCCCATCAGAGATCTCAACTCCCAGCTCCCCTTGACTACACTCAAATTCTTCACATACCAAAACTGTTAGATTAAGCTTTTTTGTGTGTGAATAATTCTATCATTTTACGAGAATGATTCTACTACCTTCAGGATATAACAAGTGTAAGCGTGAAAGCAAGAGAATTGGTTCTAATTACAATTTACTTTTGTAATAGTTATTTATTACAAACCCCTCTAAAGAGTAACGTTTTATTTAAACAAATACTACACGTAGACATTTAAAATTTTTAATGTGTTTTCCAAGGAACCAATGACAAAAAGGAGATTAAACATGTAAGGACTTTACCAAGGGCAATGCCTATGGAGAAAATGGGAAAATAGCCCTGTTAAGAAAAAACAAACATGTACGCGTTATCCTGCCCATGTAATTGTAACCCCTCTGTACAGTATGTTCACAAATAAAATAAAATAAATTTAAAAAAAGAAAAAACAAACATGAAACAATACAAAAAACTAGGCAAGCCCTCAGATGTTGGATCAAGTCTGACCCCTCAAGGAAGGAAAATGGAGAGAAGCTTGACAGATGAGATGTAAGAGCTACTCAAGAATTGGCCCTAGTCAAAGTAGGTTACAAGCAAACAGCTCAATTGAGAAATACTGTCATTTCTTCTAACTACAGTTAGGCGAGCTGTTACTTTTTGTTTGTTTTTGTTTGAAACAAAGTCTTACTACATAGCTTAGATTGGAACTGAAGATCCTTATGCTTCTGCCTCCCAAGTGCTGGGATCACAGGCATGGTACTTTTAAAAAGAATTTAGGCTGGAGGTATACACTTGTCTATTGTTGAGTGATGCCCTGGTTTCTACGCCCAGAAGTTCACACATGCACACATCACTTTTTAAAATCTAGGTGATACCAATAAAAACTTATATAACCAGAGTAAAATATGAGTTGAAAGCAAGACACAGTTGTATGAAAACTACCACTAAAGAGAAATCCTAGTTGGGTACTGGTGGCTCACGCCTGTAATCCTACAGGAGGCTGAGATCTGAGGATCACGGTTCATAGCCAGCCCGGGCAGGAAAATCCATGAGACTCTCATCTCCAATGAACCACCAGAAAACCAGAAGTAGCGCTGTGGCTCAGTGGTAGAGTGCTTGCCTTGAGCTGAAGAGCGCAGGAACAGTGCCCAAGCCCGGGATTCAAGCCCCATGATGAACCCCCCCCCCCCCAAAAAAAGAGAGAAAACTCTAGCCCAGAACAAACTGGCCCTTTTTTTCCTTTTTTCTGAGGTCCATCCATATCTTGCCTTTCTCACTGCTCACTCATCATAACCTGGCATTTTCTTATCCACTGCTTTCCAAACACCAGTCCATTCCGAGCCTTCTTAAATCTAGTGTTTACTATGTTGGATATTTCATCCTTCTTTTCTTCTACACTTAGCAACTCTTGGCCTGGTAATACTAGAGTTATAGGAATAACAAAAAGGTAACAAAAAGTCCAACCTTGAAGGTCGTATACTTTAATTAATGAAGGTTACTCTGAAGTGATGAAAAGACTGGTTAATGTAAAATGCTGTACCCTACTTACTCAGTCTCAGTTCTCCAGTTTCTATGTCTGGCCTTCCTCTATTTGCTTAAGACTTGGATCTATGTTCAAATACTCACTTGTCTATCGTGTTCTGGCAGGACATGCACATGGCTTAAGTTCTTTTCACTATTTGCTTTCCTTGATGCTTTTCTCACCAGCTTTCACTGTTCTGGCAACACCTACGACTTTCCAAGTCT